GGATTCGAACCCGCAACCTTGGGTGTACGTGGCTGGCGCCTTAGCCACTTGAGCCACAGGTGCTGAGCCCGGATGCTGTTTCTAATGGCAGCACCTCATCACCCTTTGTTAGAGTAAAAACTCCAAAGAAATGCATAATTACTTGGTTTTTCACTGTCAGCTTTACCCATTTGGTTACATTTCTTTATTGAAGAACTATTTTTCTATTTTTTATAGGACTAATTATCTCAGAAGAATCCATTATATATTTTTTTCACTCAGAATATATTACGAAGGAAAGATATTTGGTAGAATGGATGAGATGGAGTTACGAGCATTTGAAATATGGCCATGAGACTCGGCCTTTTGTGAACTTAATTATACTACTGTCTTCAATTTCCCTTGTGTTACTCCCAGGCCAGGCTGGCGACGTCTTTTTCTGAAGTCAGTAAAATGAGCTTGTTTCCTAGGGTGATGAGGTAGAGACAGGATTCCTAAGAGAAATTCGAGAGAAAGTCTCCCCCTTGCCCACGTATATGCACAGGATGGAGAAGGATCACATTCCAAATGCAGACTTAATTTAAAGTATAAGGTTTCCTCACAAGCCCACTGGGCTTCAATAGGGCCAGGGAATGTTGGGACTTCTAGATATTCTCCAGATACTTAGCAAAAATCCCCCACTTTCTCTTCCATTAACACCCCTAGGCCCCTGAAACTAGTTATTCCAAGAGCAAATATCAGAACGGCAGCAGAGTTAGGACAGCACCCCTCCTTCATGGATCTTTATTTCAATGGGAAAAAGCCTAAATTTGAGCAAAACCCCTGGAATATGGCTTGAGAAGAATGCTTCCTGGTGCACCTGCCCAGGGGCTGTCTTCAGGGTGGCCGTTTCCAGCATCACGTTGTCCGACCTCTGAGTTTGTTGGGGTCTGGCTGTGTGTCTTGTGGGGCTGCGGTCTTTGTCTAGCAGCTGGAAGGGTCCCAAGCAATGACCCGTTCTGGCCAGTGGGTCTTCCACGTGGGTTCCTACTTTCTGGTTTTCTCTCATCTTCCAGACGAGATTGCTTTTAACATGACTTGATTTTAATTTGCAGGATAAAATTAAACATGTGACTGATCCGCAAGGCACCGTGAAGCGTTTGGTAAAGACGTGTGCTAAGTTTTCACGGCTAGAGTTGCTTTGATGCTGGGAGTTTGTGCTGAACTGTTTTCAGTGCTATAAGAAGGTAGATTTTTCTTTTACCCAGCAGTTGCAGACTGATATTTGGTTTGCTAACATGTGTTTCCAGGATGTACAGTGTTCTAATGGTGCCTGGTTTTTTTTTTTGAGACGGAGCCTCAAGCTATCCCCCTGGGTAGAGTGCCATGGCATCACGCTCACAGCAACCTCCA